GTGCGTGTATGTATGTGTATATGACAAGAGCATGTGACCAATAATATTCATATACATATATACACAAATTATCAATAATCTTTCTCATCTTAACCATCCATCTGATAGTAATAATTATACAGATTACTATTACACAGCTTCTTTTTTTTCTTAGAAAAAAAAAACTAATCAAATCAACTCACTAGATAGATAAGTAAGTGTACAGTACAGGTGATGTTTTGTTTTCATCTCATATGTGAGTAGATGATATACTTATTTACTCGAGACCTGCATGATTGTCTATTATGTTCGTCAATAAGTATGCTTGAGGCTACTACTATTACGAGTTTACCTTAGTCGACAAAACGCGAACGAGACAATGAACCAGCGTCCAGGTAGGCTACCTTGAAATCCCCGAATAGAGTGAAAGGACTTGTAAGCGTAGAAAGTATATTCTACAAACACCCAGCAAACACACAAAACAATCAAGCATACAACTCTTGTTTATTTACACATCATAGAAACATCCTTGGAACAGTTAAGAAAATAGCACACTAAAATACACAGTAGCCAATCACAGTCATGGATTTTCCTGGTGGGAAATGAAATCTCAAGGTCAACTGGCAAACGTGAAAATAGAAATAAGGCATTTATCAAGCGAGTTTTGGGGATCTAACATCAGTCAGTCAGTCAGTCAGTTGCAACGTAGAACTTCGTACGTATGTGTACATAAGTTCATGTTGCCATACCACATTAGCACACAGAGACGCAAATTTCAAATCAAATCCCATAGTGATAAAGATAGTAGAGGTATTAATGTTATAATAAAGAAGACTAGGGTTTAAGATATTATTCAAAAAATATAATTCAGTGAGATAAGGTTAGAAAGACAAAGGTAGAGGTGCTGGCTAATCCAAAAGATTAGGATTTGAGAGAGCTCAAAGAGTGGATGCACCTGCGCCATTGCAAACGATTTTGAGCCATGTCGTTCAAGGTCTCTAACCATTGATGACTTTCGTCTCGCGGACCCCAACCAGGTAGTCTACATCTACCAACATGACTCAGTCCACTTGTCAGTGACTTCATGGATTTCTGCCATGTTTTGGTCTGGCCGCCCCTAGCTTTCTTCCAACCTACTCCTACACCACAAAACATAGCTCGTCGAGGCAGTCGGTGGTTAGGCATACGTAACACATGTCCCAACTGATGAAGTTTCACCACTTCATCTATTGATCTGCCATCCTTACCTAGTACTCGTTTCCTAACGACAGCATTGCTTACTCGGCTGTCCCACGATATACGAGCAATGCTTCTTAAACATCTATGATCGAATACTAGTAACCTACGAACATCTTCTACTCTTAACGGCCATGTTTCACAGCCATATAAGAGAACGGAACGAACTGCTGCGCAGTACACCCGCCCTTTGGTTAGCGAACGGATATCACGCCTACGCCATAAGTGACGCAGGTTGGCAAAAGCCAATCGAGCTTTCTGTATCCGAGCTGAGATTTCGTCAGTCACCAGACCGTCAGCACTGATGAGACTCCCCAGATAAGTGAAGTGATCTACACGCTCGACTACTTCACTCCCTATCACTAGTTCAGGTGCCGAAGCAACCAAGTCTTGAAGCAACATTTTGCATTTCGAGGGGGAAAACCGCATCCCGAACATGCTCGCATTGTTGCTTATGGTAGTCAGAAGACTCTGCATTTTGTCAGCGTCTTCACCGAATAGAACTATGTCATCAGCATATTCTAGATCAGTAAGCGACTTTCCTGGTAGAAGGTCAACCCCTGAAAAATCTGACGAGCTTAATGTTAACTCTAAGAGGATGTCTATGACAAAGTTGAACAAGAATGGAGAGAGTGGACAGCCCTGACGGACACCACTTGATGTAGAGAATTCAGATGACAGTTCGCCATATGCTCTCACCCGACCAGTGGTGTTCGAGTAGAGTATTAGGTTAATGTACTTCTTTGGTACATCCCCAACACTCCTCCCCTTTTTAATAGCGTGTGCTCGTGGGGTCGACTTGCATCTCGACTGTCGTTCGCCGCTGTCTGAGAGGATACCTTTGGGGACGAAGAACAGCTTGCTGTTGAGTTTCTTCTCGTGGCGGGGCTGCCGGTAGGTTGAAAGTATAAAGGAAGATGTCAAGGGGAAGGCTTTCTGCTCTTGATGGGCGATCTGGGGCTAGCTGTCTGCGTATCTGATTTCAATGACGTGACCATTTATCACCTCCTACCTTTACTTCGTACATAACTCGACCAACTCTTCTGACCACTCTCGCTTCTGCCCAAGGACCATGGTTCGTTCTGTAGTCGCTGGCAAACACAGGGCTACCCACTTCCTAAGCGGATTGTCTTTACTGCTTTGTCTCTACTGATGTGAGTGCATTAGTCTGATGTATCAGGCTGTGGATCGTTTTCAATCTTCTTCCCATCAGGATTTCTCATGGGGAGGGACTTTTGCTCCGGTAACAATTCATTTGGTGTTGTCCGACAGACATACAAGAAATTTTTTAACGTTGGGGATCTAACATCCCCAACATTGTCTATAATCAATCGTTGGTCAAAGAAACGAAAAAAAATAGTAAACTTTTTCAACACCAGTATATTCGATCTCTAGTTGATGTGTGTTACGGGCGGGGGGGGGGTACAATAAGAGACGAAATCTCTATCAAGTAGTACTCTCTTTCTCTCCCTTGAAATGCAATAACACTCTACTCTAGTTGAATATTACACATTCCCATTAAAAGCTTAAATAAATAAACTAAAGAAAAAAAGAGAACTTACTTTGAATAAATTTAACAATTTAATACAAAGATGATAATCAAAATTAGAATATTTTGTATCACGCATATCGTACAATACAATAAGTCCTTTTCTTTGTGATTGTTCACTATAATGAAAAATAAACATTCAAAATTTTATGATTAAATAATAAATGATAAGTTGATTTCAGTAATCAATAATAACAATCATAGGGTTGAGTTGTATGATGAATTTTCTTTAGAAATTAAACCAAAGGAATCCATCCAGACAGACAAATAAATGTTAGTCCTTCCTATATATAACAAGGAAAACCAATCAAAATCTTCGCCTTAGTGCACAGGAACTCAGAATCAGTTACACCGTTTTGCTATTATTGAATGTGAGGAGCTTTTAGGGCAGTGATTATCAAACACAGAGTCACTAAAGATCCACAGGTTAGAAATCAAACGTCTTAAAGTTTTAATACTGATATGCTTGAAACTATTACGAGTTCACCTTACTCGGTAAATGAAACGAAAGTCAACGATATAGTGACACGATAGGCTATTCGAATACGTTGTCCCTGACCCTGCTAATAAAAGCAAGAAGTCTTGATAAGGAGTACAGAATGTATCCTACAAGCACCCAGAAATACAAGGTTGATAAACACACAAATCAAGCTTATTTATATAATCATAGAGCCACAAAATAGCGTACTAAAAAATCCTTCAACCAATGACAGTCAAGAATTTCCAAGTGGGAAATGTAAGCTGTAGGTCAACTAAGCGTCTCTTGGCGCGGAAACATGGAAATTCAAAATTTCAGGAATAAATTAAAAAATTAGGGGACCCTTTCCGAGAGAGTTCTGGGGATCTAACATCCACAACAAATACAGAACTCTATCATGGTATGGGCAGCCAGGAAGTGACATCCACCCCATACCCGTAACAGCACAAGAGACCGAATCGGTCACAATCAAATCCTTTCCACACCTCCTAAAAGTCTTTCTTATCTCCGATTACTGCTCATACGTTTGAATTGATTTGAATTGACAACTGCGTCTCTGTGCTAATGTGGTAGGGCAACATGAACTTATTTATGTACGTTCGTAAAAGGTTCTACGTTGTATTTCCGTGAACTTCTTTACTGACGCACAACTGATTGGCATTATTTTTTTAGTTAGCTAATAGTGTCGTGTGTTTTAGTGTTATTGCATGTTATCGTGCGAACAGAGTTTTTTTCAATGTCAGTTGTTAAATCACTTTTCTATTCTGCAAGTCTCCTTCTTATGTTAGCACTTGGATTAATAATGCTGAAGTGTTGTTGTGTGACAGACGTTCATCTTATTCGGGTCATGTCATATTAGATTATCTCAATTGTTCGTAAAATTCATTTAATCGTACGATAACCGGAAACCGAAATATAGAATCCTTTTTACCACGATTCAACAATACTACTACTATGGTGCGCGCTACTTATAAGTAGTAAATGACGCGAGTGTAAACGTAATGTCTGGCAGCAGAAGATGGGGGAAGATCAAGAGAAAGGAAGAGTGGGAACACAATGGAATTTGTATGAAACGCATGATGAATAAGTGACATGTCAGACAATGGATTGATGATTGATTGAAGATTTGCAAATTAACCGTTTACGATATGGTTTTCCTATTTTACTGAGTAACTCTGTAATTTTCGTTAAATACAATTCGGTTGCCATCACCTGTGTTCTCCTTCACTACACTACTACTACTATTACCAATAATAATAATAACAATAATAATAATAATAATACATTTTTGAAACCATGAACCGATCAATGTTAGACCACCATTAGAAACCTGGAAGCACCGAAAGACGGCCGTTTCGTCCTGGAATGGGACTCATCAGTGGCAGTGCGCATCCACGACCCCTGCACCTAGCAGGATTCGAACACAAGACCTTCGGTATTGTGCGCGAACGCCTAACCATCGGACCACTAAGCCGGTATCTAACGGTGTTAATGTCAAACTTGATCAATACAAGGAGTCGTGGATGCGCACTGCGAAGGAGTCCCATACCAGAACGAAACGGCCGTCCAGTGCTTCTTCTAGGTTTCTAATGTTGGTCTAACATTGATCGATTCATGGTTTCAAAAATGCATAACTTAACAATCCTCACAACCCCGTAATGCAATAATAATAATAATAATAATAATAATAATAATAATAATAATAATGATAATAATAATAATAATAATAGTCAAGACGCATCGAACAAGCAGTAACTCTATAATTTATTACATTTTTAGTCAACCAAATCAAGCTTATAGACATTGTTTGAGCATGTATTATTGAATCACATTGATTAATTGATAGATATCAACTACTGCCTAGTTCAATACATTCATATTTGCGTAATGGTTAGATAAGTAAATCTGACATAAATTAGTGTAATCTAGACACATAGTTGTTTTTTTTTCAAATTCGTGTGGCAAGTAGCATAATAAACCCGTAATCAGTAGTCATGTCTTCTTACTTACTATAGAGAGTCGTATCAATCATTGTTCAGTTGCACAGATGTCAAGTAACCAGTTGTGTCCTACACATGATCTATAGTCAGTCAGTCAGTAAGTTGCAACGTGGAACTTCATACGTATGTACATAAGTTCATGTTGCCATACCACATTAGCACAGAGACGCAAATGTCAAATCAAATCCCATAATGATAAAGATAGTAGAGGAGGTATTAATGGTAATGAAAAAGACTAGGGTTTGAAGATATTATTCAAGAAGTATAATTCAGTGAGATAAGGTTAGAAAGACAAAGGTGTAGAGGTGTTGACGAATCCAGAAGATTAGGATTTGAGAGAGCACAACGCATGGATGCACTTGCGCCATTGCAAGTAGTCATACCACTATGTTGTACAGACCATAACGGCATGTATAAAATAATCGCACACACACACACACATACATGTTTCCTCACGTAGATGTGTCCACATATGTATGCATCAACGTATTCACTAATAATGATGATATATACGTGGGAAACCAAACAGGCGCTCATTATCAAATAGAGTCATCAATCAACAATTTTATTAAGAGAGAATTATTTATTCAATGTATACAAAAATGAAAAATATAAATCGAAAGATTTAAATGAGATTAATAAATAGCAAAAGAAAAAAAAATAATGATGCTAGTAATTTTATTCAAAACCTTTATTCTCTTCACTAAATAATAATGATATATAATATATTGATTGATTGAGAATATTATAGGAATATGGAATATTGTAGTGAATGAGAACACAGGTGGAGGCAACCGAATTGTATTTAACGAAAATTACAGAGTTACTCAGTAGTAAAATAGGAAAACCATATCGTAAATCGTTCATTTGCAAAATATCAGTCCACCATCATATCGAACTGGACTGTTCCTGTTGCAAAACATCAATCCATTGTCACTCACTATTCATGCGTTTCATACAAATTCCATTGTGTTCTTCTAACTCTTCCTTTCTTGATCTTCCGCCCCCATCTTCTGCTGCCAGACATTACGTTGACACTCACGCTATATACTACTTATAAGTAGTTCGCACCACAGCACCACAATATGAATAGAGTATTGATTCAACACCACCTCCACTGCCCATTTATATTAGCCTATATGAACAAGTTAGAACTTGACTAACTGACTGATTGAGGAGAAGAAGCAGACTGAATTAAACAACTGTAAAATTATGTGGCTATTATTATTATTAGTAGTAGTGTGGTGTGAGCTACTTATAAGTAGTATATGACGTGAGTGTCAACGTAATGTCTGGCAGCAGAAGATGGGGGGGAAGATCAAGAAAGGAAGAGTTAGATACAACACAATGGAATTTGTATGAAACGCATGAATAGTGAGTGACAATGGATTGATGTTTTGCAACAGGAACAGTCCAGTTCGATATGATGATGAACTGATATTTTGCAAATGAACAATTTACGATATGGTTTTCCTATTTTACTGAGTAACTCTGTAATTTTCGTTAAATATACTTCGGTTACCCCACCTGTGTTCTCATTCACTACAGTAGTAGTATTATTAAGAAAATCTATTTAAGGAATTTTAATGACCTGACAATATTTCACATGTCCAATATATATATATATATATATATATATATATATATATATATATATATATATACATAACTTTTAAAATGAACAAATAAATAAGAAACAATTGAACACACAATACATATATATGAAACCTGAGCAAAAGTTAATTCATACAGACAAACTGATTAATTAGTAGTAGTATTAAGGGGTTGTGAAGATTGTTAAGTTACACATTTTTTGAAACCATGAATCGATCAAAGTTAGACCAGCACCATTAGAAGAAACCTGAAAGAAGCACTGAGAGACGGCCGTTTCGTCCTACAATACCGAAGGTCCTGGATTCGAATCCTGCGGGGTGCAGGAGTCGTGGATGCGCACTATCACCAATGAGTCCCATACCAGGACGAAATGGCCGTCTTTCAGGTTTCCAATGGTGGTCTAACAATGATCGATTCATGATTTCAAAAATGTGTAATTAGTAGTAGTCAAGTTATCATCATTCATTGATCGATCACACATAGCAATCATTAATTTAAACAGAAATGGTTTGTTTGTTTGTTTGTTTTTTCGGTACACAGTGCCAAATTCAAATTCCATGACCGGAAATAAAAACAAACACAAGTTATCATTAGTGAAGTTCGTGAATCAATTATAAGTTCAAACAACAACAACAATAATAATGATGATGATGATATTACCCTATTCTATTATTCAATTGATTTACTTTTCATCCATAGACTGATGGATCATTATACATAGTGAGACAATAATCACTGAGACATAGGAAACATTAGATAGTTTATTTCATTCTGGTCTGGTATGAGGCTCTTCAGTGGCAGTAAGTATACAATGGTGCCTTTCGATTAACTTATTTAACCAAACCATTGACAGAGTAATAACTCCTTATATGTGTACCATTGGTTTTGATTATTATCTGGTTTATGTTGAGCTGGTACGACTGAGCATTGCTTACGCCCACGCGCTTACTAATCCTTTTCGCTTTAATATTAATCTCTTAAATAATATTTTGATGACTCAGACATGTTACTGTGTATATATACACGA